TGAAAGATCCTATTCATAAGATCCATAAAAGCTGCAGGGGCATTGGTTAAACCAAACGGCATTACCAGGAACTCGTAGTGCCCATATCTGCTCCTAAAAGCAGTCTTCATCACATCCTCGGGTTTAACCTTTAGTTGATAATAACCCGATCTAAGATCAATTTTGGAAAAGACACGAGCCCCTTGTAATTGATCAAACAAATCATCAATCCTTGGCAAAGGATATTTATTCTTGACAGTGACTTGATTCAACCGTCTATAGTCAATGCACAATCTAAGTGAGCCATCTTTCTTTTTCACAAAAAGAACCGGAGCACCCCAGGGAGAGGTACTGAGTCTAATGAACCCCTTGTCAAGAAGCTCTTGCAACTGCTTTTCAATTCAATTAATTCTGCTGGGGCCATTCTATAAGGTTGCTGGGATATTGGTGCAGTACCAGGCACAAGGTCTATAGTAAACTCAATCTCCCTATTTGGAGGCAACCCAGGCAACTCCTTAGGGAAAACATCAGGAAAGTCTTCCACTACCCAAATTCCTTCTACAGACACCGGCTTGTCTTTAGATTCAAAAACATATGCCAGATATCCATAACACTCATGCTGCAACATTTTATCAGCTTGCATACAAGAAACAAGTAATGGAAATGATCCAACTTTTTCTCCTTCAAACCGAATCACAGGCTGGTTAGGAGCGGAGAAAGTAACCACCTTCTCATAACAATCAACCATGGCATAATGGGTAGACAACCAATCCATACCAAGTATGACATCAAATTCCACTATACCTAACAAAATCAGATCGGCAAACAAAACTCTATCCTCTACCATAACTCTACAAGATCTATAAATGGTTTTTGATACTAAAACCTCCTTAGAAGGAGTATTCACCACAAGCACACAATCAAGGGTCTCAGGCTCCACATGCAAAAATGGCACATACTTAGGTGACACAAATGAGTGGGTAGATCCAAAGTCAATCAACACATGAGCATTCCCAAAAGAGATAGGTATTTTACCTTTTATAACTGTAGGAGTGTTTTGAGTTTGTTGTTCTGTGATGGCAAAAACTCTTCCTTGAACCCTGGGCTTCTTATTATCTTGATCCTTTGGCTGCTGACTTGCTCCCTTGAGAATCGGGCAATCCTTGATCAAGTGGTCAATCTTCCCGCACTTGAAACATGCCCCAATCTGCCAATAACATTCTTTTCCCCCATGGTTTTTACCGCACCTCTTACAAAAATCAAAACTTGGTCTATTGCTTTCGGGGATCTTCCTTTTCCCCCTTTGTTCAGGCTTCTTGTTGAAAGGCTGGGTGTTGATAGCCTTTCCCTTGCCCTTTGAGTCATGAGTCTCCATTCTCTGCTCCTCCATATCTTGCTCAATTATTTGAGCCGT